TAATTACTAGACAGCAGGTTTTATGCAATTATAAGAAAATGATAAATGCTGCGTTCAAAGTATAAAACAAATGAGAATATGAAAAACTGTATGCATATTTATCTGTAACACATTTTTTAGACTGATACCCTAAATGCTTTATTTTGCATGAAAATCCACAATCCACTAATTACGATGTAATAATCTGCAGATTTTAATAGAAGCTAGTTCTAATCCTTAAGACTTTCTCTAATTAAGAATACCAATTAGTGGATGCGAATTTTGAAAGTTTTTAATTGAATTCAGTTAATTTATGTGCCCCAAAAATAATCCATCAGGTAGCCTTGATCGACCATGGTAAAGCGCTTTATTCAAAGTACATAACAAGGAAACCTGATCTAATGCATGCTGCATACATACGCAAATGACGGGGTTGTAGTCTGGGCGTTAAGGAAACCTATTATTAAATGCCATGTAGCGTAGCCTCAGGTGCGCCAATTTCTGCACTGCATTACCAACTCTGTTACGCTAAATTCTAAAGCATACTACGACTTCAGAAGCGCAGCCGGGTAAGAAACAATTAGGGAAGACAAGGAAATGTAATTGAAACTACCAACCAAACTTATACGGGATCCAGAGGGACTGCTACTACTCTACCGGGAACTGTGAATTGATTATCTTTCGTTACGTAACTCAACTAGTTTATGCAGATTTGTAACGTATACTGTCCGACAGTACGAAATATAATTGAACGAATAATGATTTTTAATTGGAATGTAACGATACAAAACGAATATCGCGTTTGTTAACTATACAGAGTGTCCCAGAAAAAATGTTAGATTCTGGTGATTCTGTAGGTTGTTCTAAAATTAGTTTTCTTTGGCAAAATGCAAAGGTTTTTGAATTATTAATGAAAAACACTGGTCAATGAGAGCATCCATAGGGCCCACGTTCAGCCATGGATAGATTGGCTCGGATCGTAACGCTCGCCCGTTGCTTAGTGCGGGCCACACACGCGTTGGTCAGTGTTTTTTGTTGATAATTCAAAATTCACTCACTTTCCATTTTCTCAAAGAAAATTGTTGTTCAGAAACACTTCCATAATCACCCCTCTTCGGCTGTAACATTTTTTCTGGAACACTCTGTATAATGTCCGATAGAATAAAATGTAATTGGAAGAATAATGGTACTTAATTGGAATGTAACGATACAAAACGAATATCGCGTTTGTCAAGTATACATGTGTACGGTCCGAGACTATAAAGCGTAATTAAAAGATTAATAATTGTCAATTGGAATATAACGATACGAAACGAATATGGTATCCAACAAGCGTGGAAATTTCATTTACCTTGCACATTAATTCACTCAATTGGCTATTTTAATTTTATTTTAATGAACGAAAATTTTGGCTTCATCAGTAAATCCGGTAACCGTTCTCAACGATTAAAAAAACGTAAATTTATGATAAAGTGAAAAAGAATCAATCATTAATTAAGGTAACAGTTTTTTTTAATTCCAAGCTATAACCAGCATTATTAATTGAGATCATTATTATAAATAACTAAATACATGTCTTGATTTAGAAACTATACATGTATGAATATTTAGTCTTGTACGTATTGTATTGCTTTAAATATTGCTAAAAATTATTTTACGAAAACATGAATTGATGTAAATGTCAGGTTTCAAAAAATCTGAAAGGGAAATCAAAATAAAAGGTAAACCCATGCTCAGTGGAATTCAATACAGGAACAGAATTTAATAGAACGTAAAAGAAGTACAGGAATTTTTTAAAACCATTTCTTTTGCACTATTGATAACGTGTAGGGATTAAATAGTTCGTGGTACCCTTTTTACTTTTGACTGCACGTGTTTTGTTTTATGCATGCATTTCGTTCTATCGATTTGCCCGCTTGGTAAAAAGAAAGAATCGACTATCTCGCACGTACCGTACGAGCAATTTTTGTGTGCGAACTTTCATTGAGTTTAGCTCTGAGCCCCAGCTAAATTAATCCCGTGCTCAAATTAATTAGTCGCCGCTTTGATAAATTAGTGCCTGACATACTACTAAAACGGTGAACGCTGTTTCCGCATCGCATACACCCACGCTCTTCGAATTAAATTAATGCACACTTCACGAACTGCAAATACCGGGGGTAATACATCTATCGTATCCTTTCGGTTTTTTAAGTCCATCTCGGGACGTATCTTTCTAAATTCATTAAACGTAATTCAATCGGTTAAAGATCGACAACTTTAAGACACGATGCCATACTCTCTCGTATATTCAAATATTATTAGATGTATTTAATTATTATAAAAATATAACATTTTTCAACAAGTTTTGTAATTATGTGTATTATACAAGTCTTTTATATACTAAATTGTTATAATTTACTATAAATCATTATTCATCACTTTTCTCATCCATGATTTATGATAGTAACCAACAGACTGCCTGATGGTCCAGGAACAAACGCACACCAAGAGCAACAGGGCAAGCAATGACATGATAAAGACGAATTTAAATTCTTTGCATTTCGGATGTGCATTATGCAGTATTCATCCATAGTGAAACATTTCCATTTCCACTTCGAACATCCAAGATGTCTACCGACGATTGAACTGATGGTAAACTTCATTATGGATGATCCACGACTAGACTGTAGATTTTATAAAAACAATCAAAAGGATATATAAAAAATGCTTGCTTTTGAAAAATATTTAAAATAACTAAAAGACGACTTTAATTTAAATGATCTGAAAATCAATTTCAATTTTGTATAGAAATCCGCAGTCGTATCGTGGCACACATACAACGTGCAAAAGTCTAAATTAAGCTCAACCTTAAGGAGAACGAAATTGTTTGACTCACATGGGAAGCTGACTGGAGGATGAGACTGAGCGTTGTGCGCGTTGTGTGGATGTCTAGGGGTGGCGGCGCGTTGCCTACAGAAGCAGAGGGTCACCGTCGTGACCATTCCCGCGACGCAGAGGATCAGAAAAACTAGCGTGACCGCGAACCAGATCGTCTGCATGCCCAGGATAGTCGACGCCTCGGAATCTGTAACGAAAAAATTGTTTCCATTCCTATTGATTTCTTTCGTTCACGACGTCTTCCAAATATCTATATACGTGGTGTTTCATCGTTTCGTTCGATTGATATACAAGGAAACGATTCATAAACGGTGATTCTTTTGAGTGAATGTATTTCAAATGACAAGTGACGCGATTGCTGTCGATGGAAGTATTTGCATCGAGCTCTGCTTTGCCCTTTTATTTAGAGGCGCCAGGTAGCGGTTCATCCTGCCTGGCAAGTGCCAGGTCAACCAAGACCGGAGGAGAATTAATTCCCCCGAGCGTTGCTTTCCACGAACACGGGAACGAATACAAAAACCGTTCTGCGACGATGAGACGCGCACGCAGTTTCGTTGAATTGAGAGATCGATAGCGAACCGCGTTTATCCTTTTATCGTTAGAGATTGACACGTTGTTGTATCTACCTTAGAGACGATCAAAGAAATTTCACTTGGAAGCGTTTGTGGCTTTTTATTAAATTATTTTCATTATTAGTTTATTATTCAATTTTCATTCATAAAGGCGTAAAAATTGTTATTGCTTTTCCTCCGGTAGAAGTAGGTATATACATCAATCGCTGGTAGTTCTAGTGTTAAGTTTTACAAATTTTTAGTGTGCTTTTAACTTGAAATCGTATTAGAAAAAGCTCATGAATTGTAACGTTTTACGGTATTTTATCGAGTAGTTGCCTTTTCCAGCGCTCGACAGAATTGTTACGTTTTCAGCAGTCAATTAAATTAAACGCTTAGCTGAATTATCGTGTTTTGCCTCATGTTATAATAAAACATTTGATCCATAATTGCAACGGGTTATAATTAATAATCGCTGACATACTACGTTCATAATACCAACGAACATCGGGTAAAAACAAATTGTTACGTGTTATCAATATTTATCATTCCTCAATTAAAAATACCCGGGAATATAATAGTTACTATATCATAACAATTGCTGTGTCTACGTTGACGGGTTGACCTGAAAATGTCCCGCGGTCGCATGACATTCACGTGAAACTGAATGGCTGTAATAATTAATCAACGCGACGACCGAATGATTAACTTTTGCATGAGTTCATTTAATAATACTCCTGGATACGACTGTACGCGATGTTCAGTTTGCGAATTTCTATTTAACGAACAATAATCGATAGCTCTGATATGAAAATAAATTTTTTGCACAGAAGAAATTGACGATATCGGGGAGAAGAGAAATTTATTAAAATACTTCCCTTGAAGTGCGACGAACCCTTGTCTAAAATATTCGATTTTTCTATCGCTTTCCTATAGTTCACCCCCTCTGAAATTCTCTTTGCCATGACACCAAAAAAGATTGTTATTTCACGGTAAATAGAATTTACGCACAACAATTAATAGACGAAAAAACGAATTAAGATCTCTTAAAGATACAATAAAAAAATTAGGCAAGCATTAGAAATAGATCGGAGTCAGTGAACAAAAACTTGGCACAGCAATTTGAGCGAGAATACGAGGATCCGTCGGTGTTCGATAACAAATCAATTTGCCCGGAGCGTATTCCATTTGAAATATGAAAAGACCCATTCCGCCGCGGTGCTCGGGGAGGGTGGATTGTCTAAAATGAATCGGCGGTAATTAGAACTTACTGGCACAGAGGGTGGAGGTAGCCTCGTCGGAGCCGTCGCCGCAGTGATTCACGCCGTCACAAAGCAGGTCCGTCTCGATGCAGAATTCGTTCTGGGTGCATCGGAAGTCCTTGCAGGTGTGCTCTGGAAAATCAAGGAAACATTCATGGTTAGGGCTGTCCCCGACGACTGGATGAGAGCTCATACGAATAAATTACCCCTTCAAATCACGCGAGCTTTCATAGACTCTGGATGTAACAGTGAACTCGTCTAAAAATGCAGAGTATGTCAATAAAAAAGCTGACAGACTCCGATTCCAGTCGAGTCATCGAACGCAAGCTTTTTCTGTCTTATATAATATGCCAATTGTCTATTCCGATTCTAATTATTCATCTACCTAGTAACATCACGTAGATACAATTTTAACTTTTCTGCTCACTTTAGTCTCATATATATTAAAGGGTTGTAACCGTAGAACGGTACATTATATACGAGATCGAGAGTGTGTGTATCCGAGGATCTAGAATGAAATTAGCGTAAGCACGTGCCACCCCTACCACGTTAATTACCGGCGAGTTCGGCATCGACCGGAGATCGATTGCTGAATTCCGTCTCTTCCGCGGAAGCCCGTGATAATGTAAGAATCGATCCAGCGAGAACAAAGATTGTAGAATCCAGATTAGAGTATGTGTGCAAGTGCGTGGAAGGAGCTTCAGCTTAATGATACTGCGATGCGACCGTTAGTACCGAATGAAAGGAAGAATGCAAGTTTGATTTACTGAAACATGCTTCAGTCCGTATTAACGTTGAACTCGATATATTTCAGTTCCTATTAACACAGGTAGAGTCCGTGAAACTTATTTTGAACAGAGTCAAATCGATTGGAGATTAAGATTCAAATTAAATGTGTTAGTTGTGAAGAAATTTAGATTTAATTTTATCTCGATACCTCATATCGAGTCCTCCTTTTTTATTTGGAAACAAATTCCTAGTCCCTAACTTAAATAAATCGATTTCGTGAAATAAATAAATAAATAACAAAATATTCATTGGTTAGATTTTATAAAGATGCAACGATTCATCAACTTCGAATTTTATTAAACGCACTATACATCCAGTGTAACCTTTCTGCTAATCTAACTCGATTAGGGAAAACGAATTGGTCGCCGTGACCTCGTTATACGTACAATTAGTCTCACGCGTTAATATTAACGAGAGTATCAAGCTTAATATGAACGCGCGATTTGAATAATTGCTGCGATGCCTATACGTCCGTCGCGTCGATGACTGGATTGTTTTAATATGCGACGCAATCCTGCATTGATTAATTGCTGTACATCCGCTAAGCTTCCTGTATACAACTTTAATACGTGTAAATAAGACAATTAAGTTGAGTCGAATAAGGAAATATCATGCCATTGGAAAATAATAAAAATAATGGTGTGAACAAGAAAATGAATGTAACTTCCCTTAGAGGAAGCGTAAGTAAAGCGAAGAACATACAGTGGCCAATTGTTCTCGATCGGAATGGAAACTATAACTTTGGCCGATCATAACAAAGTGGCCGTCGAAGAGAACGGAAGGTGGAGAGCAAGAGAGCGGGACGAGGTAACGATTCCTCTGGTCCCAGTTCGCAATTATAACTCTCGTAAGGGGGGGGGGGCGAGGCTGCCGATCCGGAATCGAAGGTAATAAAAGGGGAGACCGGAGGTTTAAAGGATTGGAGGCGCGAGAGAAACGGTCCGAAAGAAAAAGCGGGTACGCGACGCGACGCGATGCGGCGGGTCGTCGCGACGTCTACGGAGAGGAGCGTAATTTTCTATAATTTAATAGTTGAAATTCCCTTCGCCTTTATCTTTTCCCTTTCGCTCTTCCGTTTGGCCAGGTTTGAGCCATTTCACCGTTTCCGGAGTTTAAAATGAGAGAATCGTGAAAAAGAAAGAGGAAACGGGACTGGAAAAGGGTGAAACGCGGCGTGTTTCATCGTGATTAAAAAGGTCGAATGCCCCCGTCTACAAATCTCCCGCGATATCCCAACGTTCGATCGAACGAATTTATCTGTCGCGAGGGCCAATTACCGCGAGACAGTCTCTGAAATTTCAGCTACCATCGTTGTTTCATTCACCTATTCACCTACCTATTACAATCTTCAATTTTTCTACAGGATTCAATGAGAATATTTTTTATTTTTAGCAGATAATAACAACATAAGCCTTCATTTATCTGTGAGACTTTTATGTATTTTATATAAATTCATATACTCCGAGATTCAATCAATTATCTCCTGTGCTAAACTAGATTTAACGTAACTAAAAATCACATAACATACAAGTTTGTTAGTTTCCCTTATGGGGACAAGGCTAAGTGTGGGTAAAATACGAGTTGGTGATACTCTTATTTTATAATGCATATAACTTTCCTACAGATGCATAAATTAAAATAAAACGCAGTCTGTGTATCACAAAGCCTTCCTTTTCGAAATTGGCTGGATCCTCTGATCCGGCAATACGATTTTACGTTTGCCTTATTTATTGCGTTCGTTCGCGAGAATCGCCTCACTTCCCAATGAAAAGTGAGTAAATACTTCTGTCACGAACGTAAAACGAACACTATCGCGTGTCGGCAATCCGTACGCTTCGGCGTTTTTAAAGCTCTGTTTAACTTGGCGCGTCAATTATCCGGGGCTCGCGCTTGAGTAATCGATCCTCGTCGACTCTATCAAAGTTTTTACAACGCGTCGCACTACGATCTGTCGAAAAGGGAAACAAGTCCGATTGTAAGACTTGACGAGTGCCGAGCCGAGCGCAGCGAATATTCAATCAACACGGCTCGTAAAATCAAGCTCTACGTAAAAGCTCTATATAAAACACGAACGCGTTTATTTCCGCGCGACCCCGTAAAATCAAATCCCCGAAATTCAAATCGAGTGGACGAGCAAGTATCCTGTTCCCGAATTCAAGATATCACGTACATCATTTGTACAAACTATGAAATTAATTATAGGTCCTTTATCATCAGGCATTTCCATTTTGATATCATCTGTCAATTTCAATGTGAATTAGTAAAAACCGGGTGCGCATATATTTCATTGGGCGGTAATCTGAAACTTCGAACGTGAATAGAGTTCTCAGCAGGACTATATTTCACCGCGATTGCGATTCGACCAACGGAAGACTCCGCTGGGGGCTCGTTGACTTTCTATGGTGTATTATGGACTCCGGAACTACCCCACTTAAAAGTCCGGCACGACGTTCGAGTTTCGAAACCTCGTAAATTGTGTAAATAAATTAGACCGATTCTGAGGTATATGCATTCGGATCTTATACATATATAGGCAATGATCTATATCTCTGGAACATCATCCAGGCTTTTGTGTCAGGAACCATATAATTATTCCTACAATTGTTAGACTTTGAGAAATTTTAATAACATCTTAGAAAGTGGTTTAGTATTTTTATAACAAAGTACATTTCTCTGATAAATGCGTTATTCACTTTTGCGTTGCCCTTCGTTCTTTCCTCGGACTCGTTGTTCAGAAACTAATTAAAAGTAAGTTGTTTTAAACAAAATTGAATCATCCCCTGAAGGAACCGGTCCGACAACAATTGCAGAGAACAGTTCCAAAGAGAGCAACAGAAGGCATTCAATTTCGATTCTAGCTCGGAAACGGTTCGTTTGAACAAGCTCATCCACGATGAAAAGCGTTAATCGATCGCGGGATTCGATTGTTAAAGCTAACCGCTGTTCGCTACATAATCGGCATGTGCATATGCACGGAGCAATTACAAGTATAAGTCCACGGTGTCATTAACTCTGATCAGGACGTTATGGTTCGTTGTTACGTTCCAATTTGCTTAGCAAGTATGTACTAGTACTCTTAACTGGACGATGTGGCTGCGCTCAGGAAATAAAACTTTAAATTATCAATTTCCCGATGTCCACGATCACAATCTTATAAGATCGTGTCCACGATTACTATTTACGAAACAATAAGTCGATGAAACAACGGAAAATCACAGAGCAATTCTATTACATACGATGATCAGACTTTCAAATAAAATTTATGCCTTGTCTGCAAATATTCATACGGAAATTGATTTGTTCCGCGCGACCCCGTAAAATCAAATCCCCGAAATTCAAATCGAGTGGACGAGCAAGTATCCTGTTCCCGAATTCAAGATATCACGTACATCATTTGTACAAACTATGAAATTAATTATAGGTCCTTTATCATCAGGCATTTCCATTTTGATATCATCTGTCAATTTCAATGTGAATTAGTAAAAACCGGGTGCGCATATATTTCATTGGGCGGTAATCTGAAACTTCGAACGTGAATAGAGTTCTCAGCAGGACTATATTTCACCGCGATTGCGATTCGACCAACGGAAGACTCCGCTGGGGGCTCGTTGACTTTCTATGGTGTATTATGGACTCCGGAACTACCCCACTTAAAAGTCCGGCACGACGTTCGAGTTTCGAAACCTCGTAAATTGTGTAAATAAATTAGACCGATTCTGAGGTATATGCATTCGGATCTTATACATATATAGGCAATGATCTATATCTCTGGAACATCATCCAGGCTTTTGTGTCAGGAACCATATAATTATTCCTACAATTGTTAGACTTTGAGAAATTTTAATAACATCTTAGAAAGTGGTTTAGTATTTTTATAACAAAGTACATTTCTCTGATAAATGCGTTATTCACTTTTGCGTTGCCCTTCGTTCTTTCCTCGGACTCGTTGTTCAGAAACTAATTAAAAGTAAGTTGTTTTAAACAAAATTGAATCATCCCCTGAAGGAACCGGTCCGACAACAATTGCAGAGAACAGTTCCAAAGAGAGCAACAGAAGGCATTCAATTTCGATTCTAGCTCGGAAACGGTTCGTTTGAACAAGCTCATCCACGATGAAAAGCGTTAATCGATCGCGGGATTCGATTGTTAAAGCTAACCGCTGTTCGCTACATAATCGGCATGTGCATATGCACGGAGCAATTACAAGTATAAGTCCACGGTGTCATTAACTCTGATCAGGACGTTATGGTTCGTTGTTACGTTCCAATTTGCTTAGCAAGTATGTACTAGTACTCTTAACTGGACGATGTGGCTGCGCTCAGGAAATAAAACTTTAAATTATCAATTTCCCGATGTCCACGATCACAATCTTATAAGATCGTGTCCACGATTACTATTTACGAA